CAGGCATAAACAAGGAGACCGCAGGAAAGCTGTCAAAGATACTGAAATGACACTTTCCGATTGTGTGTACATCTAGCTGTGGCATCGAATTAGTTCTTGTTTTTGTTTGTTTTTATGTGGAGAAAATTATATAAAAAAGGTTATTTGACAGTTATCAAGCAATTATTTAAGAAATAATTAAAAAAAAAAAACGTAGTTTAAGCATAATAATGAACAAGTATTGCAGAGTGCTTAAAAATGCTAGATGGAATCAGATGGCGATGACTTGCACAAAAATCGCCGTGATGTCGCCTTTTTGGCGCCGCATATCAGCTGGCTGTCTTCTGCGGTCTGAGCTTTGATCGACGCAGCAGCCCGTACGTACGGTATCGGGATGAATTGTTTGCAACTTGATATTTCAACCATACGCTTGAAAGTCTTCGGCATCAGGCGGCTGATCCGATTTTCTTTGGAACAAGATATGGCAAAGTATGGTTTGTGCAAAGCGGATATTTTCAGTCTAGACTTTGTCCAATTTGTTTTTTAACCGAATTTGACAAGGAATGGTTTGTTCGAACCGCATATTGTGTGTCTGGAATTCCTTCAATTGTACTTTGAACCGGACTCCAAAAATCACGGTTTGTTCGAACCAATTAGGAAAATCACGGTTTTTGTGAACCGGAATTTGACTGTCTGGAATTCCTCCAATTTGACTTTGAAGCAGATTGGGAAAATCACGGTTTGTGCGAACTGGAATCTGTCTGTCCGGAATTCCTCCAATTTGACTTTGAACCGGATTAGGAAATTCACGATTAGAGCGAACCAGAATTTGCCTGTCCGGAATTCCTCCAATTGGACTTTGAACCGGATTACGAAAATCACGGTATGAGCGAATCGGAATTCGCCTCTCCGGAATTCCTCCAATTTGACTTTGAACCGGATTTGAAAATTCACGGTTTGTGCGAACCGGAAGCCGCCTCTCCGGTGTGGCTCCGGTTTGATCTTAGTCCGGATTTCACTTTCCGGACTGATTTCAAACCGTTATTTTTGCTAGGGTTACCGCGGTAGTTATTACGTAACTAAAGCTTATAAAACGCCATGTGTTTGGAGGATGTTTGTTAGCCTTACAAGCGACCCCCCCCCCCCACCCAAAAAAAAATAATAGTTTGCCATTTTTTGTGTGTGTTTTTTTTTTGTGTACACATGTTTATCTCGCTGAGCTGCGTGCGCTCGGCTAGCGAAAAAAAGGCTGTATAAACAAGTTCGAAATATACAAGCAAGTCATTCCACTGGACATAGAGCAGTTAACAAAATGAAAAAGTTTACAATTCTCTGTAAAGGCCCGTTCACACACATGCGTCCGTAGCGACTGCAACGACTGGAACAACCGAAACGACTGTTGCAAGGGTCTGCAACCGTCAGTTGCCATAGCAACGGAGGTACGCACGCACGTGTCGTTCACGACGCAAGGAGTTGGAGCGAGCCCAACTTTACCCGCTACGTTGGAAACAACCGAAACAACCGCAACGACAGACCAATCACAGGTCGAGGAGAACTGGTCGTGCGGGTTGCATGCCGGTCGTGCCTGTCGTGGGCCGGCTCCTTCTATCTGCAAACATGACGTCGGTGGTGGTCGTCGACGTGGACAGCGTGGTGAAAGCTCATCGTTCCGCGTAGAAGCGCTATCCCTGAGTGTGAATTTTCGTTTTGTGTCGCTATGATAACCCAGCACGTACTAGAAGGGAAGATCCACCTATGCGTGCGGCGATGTCGTGGCGGCACTCTCAAGACAGCAGAAACGCCCGTGCCGTCGTGTTTGTTTACTTCGACTACAGTGGTGCTTTCTAAGCATTTGTGTCCTCGAACATCGCCAGGATTTCTTATTTGGCGCATTTCACGCGTGTGCTAAAGTTCAAAATATTTCTGGCGCGTACCGTATAGAGGATGCGAATTTTCACGAGTTTTCATCACCGGAGAAAATTGATTATTTTATTAATCCTGAACGCTCGCAACGTCTATCTAATCATGAAATCATATTTCTACGTTGCTATGTCGCTGCTAAGATTACATCGTCTTTTATAATCGTAGAAAAGGCGTGTGACGAGATTTGTACTATTAGCAAAGTCGTGTATTAGAGTCGTGATCGTCCATGACGGCGTACTGCATCTTTGTCTTTTCTTTTTTTCATCCACTGTACCCTGCAAGCATATCATGAAAAAAAAAGGAATAAGAATAATAAACCTTTAGGCTATAAAAAAAGTGGCTCTATATTCTGTTATGGCATTGAGTGGCAGTGCGTCCCCTTTTTACAGGCACCGCTGAAACAGCTGACGGCGACGTAGAAGCGGTCGCCGTGCTGAAGACCCGCTGCGCTTGTTGCAGTGGTTGCAGGTGTGTGTACGCGCGGCGCAGAGCGGTCGTTTCGGTCGCTCCGGTTGCAACGGACGCAGTCGTAGATAACGCGCTCGTTGCAGATGTCTGAACCAGCCTTAATGCCGAATTAGAGCGCAGCTCTTGAGGAGGAGGAAGGGAGGGTACAGAAGAAGCGATATGCCCTGCCCCCCCCCCTCCGTACCGTCCCCTCCTCCTCTCCTGCTCCCCTCCCATTTAGCGAAAATTTTCCGCTAAATTTAGCGGAGAAATTGAGCGAAAATGATTTTTCAAAATTTCGTGGGGAAATTTTTCCGCTACATTTAGCGGAAACATTTTCCCATAATGCAACGCTCGGTTACGCCCGCTTGTATTATTTCTTTAATGCAACGCGCGGAGTTACGCCAATGGCCACGGCGACGCCGCTCAGGCCGTAAACGGGCGCCTAAGAGCTGCGTTTTTAAAGAAGGAATATTTTGCTCAATGAACGTATTTATTAGAAGACATAACTCAAAGTAATTCTATTTATTTTTTTAGTGTAAACCCAAGTGGATTTTATGGAAAGCACCGAGAAGGAGGGAGGAGGGTGTGATTGAACTTCTGATAAATCGAAGAGGTCTCTGGATAAACCTAGGGTTTGAACACGACTGCATGGAGCAGCGACTAGGCTGAAATGCGTTCATATTACTACAACAAAAAAAAACAAAAAAACATGTTTATTGAATATATTTTCGCACTATGCATTCAGAAAAGTGAACTTGGTCTCGTCTGTAGGCTAAACTGATGAGTGGAATCTCGTTATTTGAAACTTGCAGGTAATTCGAACTAACGTGTGCATTCCGTCAAAGTCCTGTGTATTTAGCGAGATAAATCTTAAAAATTTGCAACGGTTAATTCGAACAAGATTGTTGCTGGCATACACAGCTGCCGACAGTTTTAGTATTTTGTGGGGACAGGGGAAAAAAGTAAACAAAACTACTAATCAATGCACAATTCGAAGCCACTATATATTATCAATGCACAATTCGAAGCCACTCTATGGACTAAATGCGTGGCATTTAGTCCATAGAGTAATCTACACAAGGGAAAGAGTGGCCACTCAAGCCGTTTCGCGGCCCAGCGTTTAGTTTTCTCACCGACCGCTAAGTGGTGCCAGTGTGCCAAAGAATGAAAATATTTCGTGAGGTTTGTTATAAATAAATACTCAAGTTTTAATTTTATTATATTTAAAATTGTTGCAAGCATCATAAACGGTGAAATAGTTTTTGTTTACTACGTTAAGAAGATCACGTGATGTACAGGCCAGTTCCGGTTCCTGCAGTTGCTCTGAGAAAGCGGCTGGAGTGGCTGGAGCGGGACGGACGGACGGACGGACGCGTGCGTGGACGGCGTGACCGCATGGTGCATGACACCTGTCAACGCGTTTTGTGTTGAGCACATGTGAGCACAGCGAGCAGAATGTGAGCACAACGTGGATATTGTCTGCGCCTAACAGGTTTCTTCAGAAGGTAAGACGTTTTCTCGTTTCTTTGCTATTGCTTAGTCGCGAGCAAAACACAGCGTGCGCAGACAAGGGCAAGAGAAAAAAGCGAACTGTATCGTGTCCGTTTGTTTTACCCGTTATTTGCATGCTCAGAGGTCCAACAGACGCTGCGAAATAAACCTCAGACAGCAGCCGGCTTTTCCCGTGTGTGTTATTATTGTTACATGGGCTGCGCTATCGTACCAAGAGCTACGAATATTTGTGTTTATATCTTTCATTTTTTTTTCTTTCTCAGATGCCCTCCGGTTGCTACTACTGTAGCTACTGCTGTGTCGCATCGTGTAAAAACAACGGTAAAACGCACAAGAAACCCGGTACAAAGTTTTTCCGAATCGCACGTGACGCAAGGTAGGTTGGCGTGAGCTCCTTCTTGTCAATAGTTCCTTGGAACCATTTGCATACTTGAGCATATAAAAAAATCCCAATAATTTATTATTCTTCACAATATAATTAATTACTACAATGCGATTTTAAATCAAGCGCTAAAGTTGACTGGATGCCTTAACTGTAATGTGGGGATTTGGGCTAAGCGATCTCAGGTCAGTTATACTAATTTTAGTACTGCATTACCACTTTGTCTTTGAAGATAAAAACTGACAAATTAAACTTATAAGACAAAATTGTTAAGGAAAAGAAGCAGCCCTTGATTTGTCTCATACATAGCTTGAATGTATCGTCTTTAATGTGGCTCTAAATTGGGGTTATAAAGGTGCTGCTTCATGGTGGGGTGAATTTTCGTGCTTTTTTTAATGTGGCTCTAAATTTGAGTTATAAAAGCGCTGCTTCATGGTGGGGTGAATATTGCTCTCTACTGATAATGTCTTTTCCTAAAGAAATGTGAATGTGCACCTGCTGTTAACTAGCTATAAAATGACCTGTTGTTGGGCGAGTTGGTGAACGTTAGAAATCATGTTTTTTGTGCGAAAGGACAAACACAAGGGTGGACAACAAGCACAAGCGCGCTTGTGCTTGTTGTACTCTCTTGTGTTCGCCCTCTCGCGCAAAAACCATGATTTCTTAGTTGACCTACTTCTGCACTACTCTAGAGCAGGAACCCATATTTGTCTGTGTGCATTGAAACATCCAAAGCAAACCTGCCAAATAAAAATATGTCCCCATCGCTTGCAAGCGGAGCCAAAATGTCGAAGAGAGGGTTGCAGATTGGCATCTGACATTTTGTTCCAAAGTGTACATTTAACACATTGAAAAACAATATATATTACAGGTCAAAATCTTGGCTCGACTATGCCAAGAGGTATGATCTTCTTGGAAAGTCTGCTTCGCAACACTATGCCACCTATCGCGTCTGCAGTGATCACTTCACTGCAAAAGATTTTATGGACCCAGGGCAAACAACCCTAGTGCGATCAGATGTGCCTACTGTTCGTCCTCCCATAAACTGGGCATCTGCAATAGGTGATTGTAATAATGTGTTTCCCTCATATACACAAAGGTATAAGTAACTTCTCTATGTAGGCAAATAAGCCCATTCTTCCAGGTCCCACTCAGGCAACCAGCTCATCTGGCCCTTCACTCCAGTGCAGCTCCGTCGCAGCGAGCCGTTCTGTGCTTGCTAACAGGTTATCTCGTCATGGTGCACCTTTCCAGACCAGGCAGAGCCCGACAGACTGCAGAATTCACCACTTCCATGTAGCTCCGCAGTAATGCACTCTGCAGCACTCGGTAATATAGAGTTATTTTAAAGCACCAGCCTGTGCCTAATATGCGCACTCTTCCAGACCCAAGTCAGGCAACCAGCTCTTCTGGTCTTTTCGCTGGCCACTGTGGTCCAGGTCAACACTGTAAGTGTCCCATTTTGCTTTCGCCACTTTTTAAAACATATTTGTGTGAACCTCTATAGCCAGTGGATAATACAATCTGTCCTAGAAGGATCAGTTTAAAGAATTCTAGGTCTCTTTATAAGCTATAGTCTTTGCTTCATGTGTGTGGCATACCGATCTAACCATTTTTATTACTAATGACTGGGGAGGTGTGGGAAACTGGAACACAGATATCAAGAGGAGGTTTCAAGAGAATTCTTCATGGCTGTTTTGCGTTTTTCATGCTATTTCAGCCTTTCGAACTTGCAAGGTTATCAAGGATTTTGCGTGAAGACATTTAGTACCGAACATTTTACATGACTAGTAAAAGAATAACGTAATTGGTGGTCAGAAGTTTCACTGGCTTTGTCAGTGCTTAAATGGTAAAGCACAAGAAGAAAATTCAAGCTTCACTCCACACCTTACCTGGTATGCTACTGGTTAGTGGTGCTTGTACTGGTTAAATCGTATCGCACTTATTGCAACTGTTTTCAATCTCACTGACTTGTTGCCATTTTTATAGCTGGTCCAAACCATCCTGCACCTGTTTTCCGCAAGCTCACGAAAAGGCCCGAGGACGTTATCAAGCGACTCCAGGCGAGAATTTCCAGCTACAGAAAGGCGATAGCCAGACTGCGGAAACAGCAGCTGAAGACGCCTCAGACAGCTTCTCAAGCTCTGGAAATAATTCGGCCTCATGTTTCTGAAGAGGTATTTCACCTCATATCATCGCATGTAAAGAATAGGTCGAAGGGCAAGGGGAAGCGATTTTTACTGTGGCTGAAGAAATTTGCGCTCCATCTAAATTTGCATGGACCGCGGGCATACCGATTTGTGTCTTCAGTGTTCACGCTACCATCTCGGCGTTCACTACGAAGGTGGCTAGCCAATGTCAAAATGACGCCAGGTATCATTCCAGGCATCATGTCATCGATTGTCAAAAACAAAGTCATGGAATGAACGCGACCGCATTTGTACCTTAGTTTTTGACGAGATGATGTTGAAAAAGAACTTGTCATACGATGTGGCGCAGGATGTTGTCCTCGGATTTGCAGATGATGGTGTTCAGCGAACTTCCAGTATTGATGACAGAGCCCAGGTTTTCCTCCTCTCTGGAGTTTCTCGGAGGTGGGTGCAACCTGTAGCATATACTATTGGGCATACGTCAACACCATCCTGTGTAACTCGTAACCTGCTTATGCCACTGATTGAGGAGCTGAAGGACATTGGCATTACAATCAAAGCAGTGGTCTGTGACCAGGGTGTCTCCAACGTAAGTTTGGCGCACCAACTTGGAGTGTCTGTTGAGCAGCCATTCTTCAAAGTAAAAAATGCAAGTGTCTATTTTATTTTTGATGTCCCGCACCTAATAAAGATCACCCGTAACAACCTGCGAGCTTACAAGCTTCACATCGGGAGTGAAAATGTAGACTGGAACTACATTGTGCAACTTTACCACTCCACGCACGAGATGCGACTACGATTAGCCCCGAAGGTGACAGACCGGCATATTTACCAGAAACCTTTCAGTAACATGAAGGCGAAACGTGCGACTCAGTTCATCAGTATGCGTTGCACTTTTAGCTCTTGTGTATGCCAGACAGCTCCCTGAGGCGGCCATTTCCACGGCATACTTTTGTGACCGCATGGACAAACGTTTTGACTGTCTTAACAGCTCGAGACAAAACGAATCTGAACAAAAGTTACGCTATGCGATTAGAAAGGGCGACACTGAAATCGTTGATTTCCTTTGCAACCAACTTCCATGGGTGGCAGCCTGGAAGTTTGAGGGTAGACGGCAGCCACAAACAGTCACTGGGTGGCAGGTTACTATCAGGGCCGTCCTCATGGTCTGGGAGGATATTTCTGAGAAATATAACTTCAGCTTTCTTTTGACACGGCGACTGCAGCAAGATGCCGAAAATATTTTCGGGCAGATGAGGCAACAACACGGCTGCAACACCAATCCTAATGTGTATCAGTTACTTGTGGACTGAAGCACATTGGGATTAGGAAGCTCCTAAAGCTCTCGAAAAAGGAAAATGTTGAAGATGGCAACACTAACCTCCTTCAGGAGATGACCCCGTTTTCACTAGAGACAACCTCAATCGCTGATGCCGTGGAATGTGCCCCCGTGGACGACTTCCCTCCATTGGACAATATTTCGGAACTCGCATCAAGTAAAGACTCTAACATAATAGACGACTCTGCCACCTATTATGTTGCAGGATTTCTAATCAAGCTGTTCCTGGAAAAAAGTTCACAGGGTTGTCTCTGTTCTGGGTCACTGAGGAAAGGGTCTGACAACTTGAACTGGCCCCACCAGAATTTTACAATGCTTAAAGCCTTCCATATTCCAAGAAAGATGTTCGGCAACTTAACTGTGCCATCGGAGGCTACTTTCACTTACATTCAGAGCCTGGAATCTCACTTTATGTGTGTTATAGAAAGCGTAGCACACCTGCGCAATGTCTGTGATGTTTTGTATCACCATCTGTCGCGTATTGGTTTTTTTGCATTTATGCTCCGAGGAGTGTCAGCGGAGGTTTTTGAAGATGTTTTGCAGGGTGCGGTTGTGCTGGCATGTGCGCTTTATTAATCGAAACTTGGAAACATTTCGGTTGCATTCTTCTGTTCCTGGCGCTCAACTCGACAAGTTCGAAGCTTAGTATGGTATGGTGTTTCAGGCGCCTATAAAAGAACGATCTTTAATTGGGTTGTGCAGTTTGCATGCCGATTATATTTCTGGCTTTCTTTCAACTTTATAATGCAGGACATAGTTTTTTTATATACGGGATGAGGACGTTTTGTAGCAAAGTGATCTTTGATGGGTGCGTGCGTGGAGTATATGCCGAACATGTCCGACATGTTAATGTTTTAATCAATGTGCCCTGTATATTGACCAAATGTTGTGTCTGTTACTGTTACTTTGGTAACAGAATATTTGCATATTTAGAAAAAATCTGTTACTTTGGTAACAGATTTTTTGTATATTTTTATTACCTAACACTGTTAGGTGGTTTGACCTTAGCTGCCTGTTCTTGCTGTAATTTTCCACATGCCCTGTACTAGCATTGCTATATTTTCTGCTGTACACTCATTGTGTTGAATATGGATGGGAATGTTGAATATTCCCTGGGTCTGTATGAGGTCCTTTTTGTTAGCCTACAAGAAGTGTTAGGCTACTCCAAATAGTGTACTGTATATTGACATTGAATCTGCTTCTTTGAATTCTGTGCAGTCTAGGCTGTGCTCTAATAGCGTAAACGAATTAATCTTCGCGTGGACCTAACTTTCGCAAATATCGCGATTTGATCAAGTTCACAAGAAATTGGTAACGTGAATAAGTTGCCCTATGGATATGAATACATACAATGTCACTCACGGTGGTGAAAGTTTATGCCCGCGAAATATTCCCGAAACTGGCACATCGCTAAATGTCGAGCTCGCAACAATAAGTCGCTTACAGTACTTGTTAATGACAGCTATGGCCACATGTCCACATTACTGAAACTGCTCAGCATTGTGACAACCAATGATTAATTCAATCAAACCGTTTAGCATCACTGGAAAGTTCTGGTTTGGAGTGTTGGTAAATGTGGGACTCTTGTAACGTTACTGCTTTATATGAATGTGTGTGCCCTCATGAAGAATACTTCGCGATTCTGAATTGTTCAAACGTTCAATTGACCTCAAAATAAATCATTCTGAAGCACTTTTTGTTGTTGCCTAAAAATACTTCGTAAACACGTAAACAAACGGAACCAGTATGACAAGAATAGATATCTTTATATTTCACAGTAGTAAAGACAATAATTTCTGCTCTTTCGTGGTGTGAAGCCTCTAATCAGAAGCATTTGTGCCATCAAGAGAAGCCGCGCGACAGCAAGCTCGGCAAAAAAAAGCGCCGGACACGAAACCGAAACTGAAACCACCGGAACCGGAATGAAGAGTAAGCTTAGCCCCCCCCCCCCCCTTTTTTGACTTCGGCGTGCGCTGCCGGCTAAAAACATGTTTCTCTTTCCCTCCATCTCCATCCTCTCTCCACCCCCACCCTCCCTTCCTTCTCTGTCCTCCTCAACCCTTCCAACTCCGCGCGGTGACTGTCGCGTTCGGTGACGGGCGTCAAAATAAATGTATGCTGCCAGTTGGAGAAACGTGTCGTCCTGTTTTCGTCCTCTATGTTAGTCTCCACAAACACCGTAACTTAACCAGCACGCTCCATTTCCACGAAAGCTTTTCTCATCGACCGTTTGGCGCGCTAGTTGTTATACGGGACGCTGGGGCCTACGGCAGTGTCCGCTCTTTACCTTGTGTAGATTACTCTATGTTTAGTCCTAATAATGCCGCTTGTTCTCTTACACAGTAGAAATACGATATCACGCCACCCCATGCCCACGAGTATCGACAGCGAGTTATACCCCAACTCAAGTCAACCGTGAAATTTCGAAGCTCGAGAACGTTCATGAACGAGCACGAGGCATTGATCTTAGCCTTCATCACGAGTGCTCGATTTTTCTCGGCCGCTCGATCTTGCTACGCCGCTCCAGCCAAGGGACGGAGCGATCGAGCGGTCGTGCTTTAACGAACAAGCAAAATTAGATTTATAGCTGGAAGTCTCACTTACCGTCCCTTAATGCCTGCACCGCGAATCCTGGAGACCCATTTTTTGCTCTCAGCTGTCAGTTCTTCGAAAAGCTGTGATATCCCACGCCTTTGTGCCGGGGGCTGTTCTCGTTGCACCCATGGACGCAGCACGTGAAACGCCCATAGCGACGGACGGAGGGAAGATGAACAACTTCAAACGCAGAGCGCTGCGGCGTCTCTTGAATTGCGAAGCATGGCAGCTCGGCGTAGCGCAGCTGAGCTTGCCAAGCAGAAAGATAGAGAAAGAACTAAAGTTCCATTAATGCGTTGCGGCAGCGGCGCCGTAGCGAAGCTGGCAGACGAGATCGCCCTATGCGGGGCGCAAGTTCGTCTGCTTCTTTTGCAGTAGTTGTGGTGACGTCAGAACGCCGAGCTCTGATTGGCTCTCATGGAGGGATCGTCGGCAGAACTCAATGCTACCTACCTTGAGGTCTACCCACTACCCTTCCGGCAGTGGCGTACCAACTTGTTTTTGAGTAGGGGGGCAAACCAGACCTCCCCTCCCCCCCCCCCCCCCCCCCCCCCGGGGTCGCATTTCTACTAGTGATGGGCCGAACTTTTGCCGAATCGAAAATTCGGCGCAACTTTTGGCGAACTTTTCTAAAGATTTGGCAATGATTCGGCAAAAGTACACTGTTACCAGACTTAACATTGACATTTATTTTTTTCTCACAAAACGTTTTTTTTTTTCGTAACATAAATACCACATGTAGTGCCTATTGACACAATTATGACTAAATAAGGTGATGTTCTACAAGATAATTGTATCGATGTCGCTTCTGTATCCTTATTTACAATTTTAGTGTTTGCTTGCAGAAAGTGGCTTGACAACGAGGTTGGGTAGCCGACGCAGTCACGAATCACGCTACGAGAGTTTCGATTTTGAGGCTTCATCAGCGTACGCCTGCAAGTGTGTTTACATTGTTAAAATTAAGGCAATCACTGTGTTCTTACTTTCTCTGGGAGTCGCCGTTTCGTGCGCGAAAACGAATGCAACGGTTGCTGGAGCCTTCACCAGAAGAGATAACAATATTGTAAATTGCATGTTTTTCGATTTGAGTCACTTGACGTCAGCTTTGCATGAAAGTGTGCGTTCCATATTCGCAACGTGCCGTTTTTAACCTTTAAAATTCCGGTTCCTGGTGTTAGGACACACACGGACGTTTAGGAAGATGGGGAGAGTTAGGAATGTCGGATGTACAACGTCGAGGGCATGATAGTTCTGTGTTTAGTTTTATGAAGATACATGAAAATCACTAAATAACGCGAACTAAAAAGCAATATTATTCTATTTTAGCACAAACTACTTGTGACCCGAAAACAGGATTGTTATAATAATAATAATAATAATAATAATAATAATAATAATAATAATAATAATAATTTTATTTGCATATACTGGAATGTGC